AAATATGTAACCCTCCGGCGATTCTGTCGTCAAAGCATATTTTTGAAATGTAAAAATAGTATATGTATGTTGCTTTGACTCTAGAATCTATCGGTCGCGAAATATCTTCTTGCACGTTAATCTAATGATATATTTTAATAAATAAAGAAAGACTTTGGGTATCTTCGATAAATTAAGAATAATTGAATCTGCTATGACATTTGTCATCTTAAAAATCACGGTGTGCAAGAAGATTCTAATTTTAAGTAAAAAAATCCTAAGATAAAATATTATACATGTGTTATTGGTCACGGGTATGATTCATACCCGCGGTCACTACACTTGCCAAATAAAGCACGTATACAACCAGCCACCCATGTCGATTCGGACCTTTCATCCTACGACATGGGGACCGGAGGAATAAAAATCGCATGCAACTCACCGATCGTTGACTACGATAGAGAATACCTGTACCACACGTTCAATCACCGACAAGGTCGTCTGCCTGGTCCTGTAGGAGTCATTGATTCGGACAGGAACTGTAAATGAGAAGAATACAATTATAATTTCTTGTTAACATTATAAAGAGTTTTAATTTCATCTAAAAATCTGAACATATTCTAAACTGAGCGATACTTACATTTCTCTCTCGTGGAGAATCGCTCGAAACTCCGCTTCAGTGATGCACTGATTCTAATACCGACAACGAGTGAATTTAATTGTCAAAAGAAAAATTCTAAAATATGTTAAAGACTAAAGTTAGTTAATTGACGCGCCCGAAAATCGATAACGGCGAATAATTGATTCTACAGTCGCGATTCATAAAGAAAAATGAGCCCCGATGCTCTGAAAGATATTTATATGTGCGCAATAAACACTGACTCTACTTTCGCGTGTCCCTAAAATCCGAACGATAATCTACAAGAAGCAGCTGTGCTTCGAAAAATACGCGAAACTCTAAACGACGCAAACACTGCGTTTACTGGCCGCATTGCGCTCGGCCTTGAAAAGTCCTGGAAGAAAAGGTGATAAGTGACAGAAGAAATAACAAATAAATACGTCCGTGGTTCCCTACTTGGTTTATCGACGGAAACACTGTTATCCTTTTAAAACTACAAACCCATCATGTAACGCAAGTGAAATATTTTCAACTATTTTCAATGTTGAAATATTATTCATAAATAGAATTCGAATTATTATCATAGCTTTTTATTATCGGAGTTGTAAATACGACACATTGATTGTACCGAATTGTAAACTATTAACCGAGTTTTATAAATATTCTGAAACTTTCCAAAATTAAAGTTTGTTACTAGCATACTCAAATTTCGCATTTACTACGTAATTCTGCGCTTATAGATAAAAAGGTGTACAAATTCAATGTAATAGTTTATAAAGACAGATTTGAGAACAAATAGGAAAAAGTTATATTAAATCTTTTTCCTTTCAATCGTAACACTGTCCCGTTACACAATTATACGTCGCACTTGTAAGAAGTTATATAAATAAGTAAAGTGGACTTACTACTTGTTGTCAGACAAGTAGTGGGTAGTTACCAATGGGTCAGCTGTAAGATAAAAAAATGTTCCTATTATAGCGAGAGCAGTAAGGCAGTTAATTAAAGCAAAATTGGAATCAGATGATAAAATAGAAGTAGAAAGAGGAATTTTAAACAATTCTCACCGTTGTTCATCACAGTCCAGCACTGGTCAGTAGTGGTCAGTAATGGTCAGTAATGGTCAGTAGTGGGCAGCACTGGTCAGTAGTGGTCACTTCTGGTCACTCCTGGTCACCAGTGGTCAGCCTGGTGCACTAATGGCCAGAGCTAGACCTCCAAATTCGTGAGACCCGATCCCCTTCGAAGTCCCAGTGGTACTGAAAGAGTATGTTAGCAATGACTCTTCATATACCTCTTCCTAAGGTGGAAGAGTGGGGAGACGCAAAGACAGAGTTGACAGTCACGGACAGTCTGGTCTACAGAAGAACTATTTCGGTTGGTCCTACCTCTTGGCCATTCCTGGACCTTTGATCTTGATGTCAGCCTCACTCTTGACCATCGATGACCATTACCTAGCCATTGACCACAAGCGAATAACTTACGACCTATTAAAACCACCACGAAATCGGAGATTAAAAAGCCTTCTTACAAGGATCCCCTTAAAATTTAATGCACGATCTTTTTAATATTTTGTTCCACTTTGAAGGAGTGTATCTCAAGAATAGGAAATAAAAGAATAAATGTTAATCGGACATCCCGGATAATCGGTACAATAAGACATACATATACGTAATTTAGAGTTATACTTATCACTGGATTCTGAATCCATGCTTATTCTAATACTATTAAGCATAATTTTATAATCGTAAAGAGCACCAAGAAATTATGCAAGAATGATAATTGACAGAAACTGTAATGAAGTCTAAAGGCCATATTTAATGATTTTATATTTCCAATGAAATTAATCGATTGATGTCCAATTCTAGATCGTACAGCTCTCATTCGGTTAAAAAACAATAAAATTTCTATAATTTTTGTAAAATCTCATTGCGTTAATTGTGTAACCTGTCGGTAATGTTGCGAGTGACACGAAAATGATAATGGGGCTCCAGAGCCTCAGAAAAATGGGGCGAAAAAATACATTGGATATAAGATCTACTCGTATACTTCGTCTCTCGGTATGTAATTACATATTACACTTACAAAGAGTAAAAATTCAATAAAGAAAGAAAAAACCATAAACAAATATACATACGTTAATTATGATCAGTTAAATCTTATCAATGATCCGTTTCGTTCGATTTGACAATCACTTTTTCAATATATCATGGCGACAATGACCGGTGGCGTCCTCGAAATGCAATCAGAAACTCTAATAGAAATAAAATACAAATTTTGATTAAATGCGCCAATATAAATATGCCTAGATCGCAATTAAATAACGATTGAACTTGAAATATGTTGTACGAAATTGTATATGATTATATTTAGAGAAATATGAGGAGAAATGACGATCAACGCCGGGTAGATATCGGCAAAAACGCGCGAAATCGATTAAACTTTATTCACGATTCTAATTCAATTCGTAATAGAAATGTATTAATAATAAACGAAAGTACCGTTGGAGAGTGGCAGAGAGTAATAGTGATTAAATGAGAAGCAATTAAATATCTATAGATAAAACGTACGTTATTCATGAAACTGCAAACACGTCCTAACACGCCAATTACCAAGTTACGAATGACGACACCGTCCCATTAGCGGCGACTTCGCGAATTAGACGGTAGGTGGGGAAAGGTCCAATGCCACTCTATGTTTCTGAGGTAGAGGTTAAGCCTCGAGTCTCGAATAATATTGTAAATACTTGCGCTCAAATGTTCCTCAGGTACAAATTACGGCTGCAAAATATTCCAAGCCAAAATGTAATTACCAAATAATTTGTTATCGCCACTAAAGTAAGGCAAAACACAATCGGTGCTGATTCGAACTTTTTGCTTTACGACGCAGTATAACCTGCTTCACCAGGCTTTCCTGTCGTTTCCTTCATTTTCTTTTAAAGTGTTTTCCGGAATTATCTCTCTTCTCGAAACTACGTCTGTCCTTCGTTCCTTATTACCGAAAACACGAGGTCAATGTCACAGACAAGGTATACGAGCAGACCTTTCATCCAATGTATTTTTTCGAACCATTTTTCTGGGGCTCTAGAGTCCCATTACCATTTTCGTGTCAATCGCAACGTTACCAACAGGTCACACAAATTAACACAAGAGGAAGTGAGACAGAAAATAAAGTTATAGAAACATTCCAAGCTACACGTTATATTTATTTTCGATTAGAAATTTTTTTCTCGAAAATACGTAGAATTTCTGAGGTATATGTGTTCGCCAAAAATGGCCCATTTATTTTTAATTCCCATAGCTAACTGCACTGCACTGCAGTCTCATTCCATTCTGAATCGATAACGTTGGATTTGACATCGAAATGGTATAGAGACTCATGTGCAATGTTCCTCGATCTTCCTTTTTCTTTGTAGGCAGCCTCCTGAATTTGAATTATCCCCTAAAGTATACGATATGGTAGAAGAATAGAATTAGAGATTCTTACTTCACGAATATAAAAATACACATGTATTTCATATACAAGTATTACAGTAAGTCTTATATGATATTACGTGAAATAATTGACGGGTACACATGTACACGTACGTGCCCAATGCACGTTCAAAACTATAATTTCTAAATAAAATAGTTATTATAACCACTTCTTATTTAACATTCCAAAAATCGATTAAAAATACCCTTAATTATTTAAGAGAGACTCGACTGTACCACAAAGTCTCAGATCAATATATCTTGTCGATATTGACATCTCGATTCAAAATTGAACTCAGAAAAAAAGCAGATTCTGCTCGGATTTGGTTCGATGTCGATCCTTATCATCCGTCTGTGGTGTTATTAGATTGAGTCGTAAGTAATTGCCGGTACAGGTAGTGGATCATAAACTGTTTAAAGAATTCCAAATGACCTGTAGTTTGTTTTCGCTGTCATGCTCACCTTGTTTTAGAAGGTTGAGCAGTTCAGAAATAGCAAACAGCAAGCTCAGATCAAGTATCAGTACAATTTTTCTTGTAAGTGAAATGGAGAAATCAAACCAGCGCATTCGTTACATAATGTTATGGCAGTTCCAATCTGGCACTAGCGCGACGGTTTTTTGTATCAGAAATTGATAAGCTACCAAACAAGTGGGAAAAGATTGTTTTAATAATGCATAATAGGTTTTAAACTAAGGTGTTGTGTAACTCCTTTAATAGAAAAATAAAGTTAATGCGTAAAAATGGCAATTACTTGTGACTCAACCCAATATTAATTTTGATCAGTATCGAATGACGATAGTTTAATCAACCTGTGTCATCCTTGGCCGCTTGTTTATCCGCGTTCAAGTCACTGCCGCAGGGACTTTTATTGTACTTGTTGAGTAATTGCTTGGGAGAAACTTTCAGGCCAGTACAGCGCGAACTATCGAAACGATCGGATCGCGATTGGACTCGTAAATCGCATCGCGACTTAGCCCCGTCGTGAAAAAAAAAAACGATAACATCGAGCGGCGTGTTTCAAATCGCCGACCATGAAGGAAATCATATTATTATTATTTTTGGTAATACTCGGCCAGGTGGCCATAAACGTTGCGATGCCGCGAATAAATTACTCGACGCTACGGAGACAAATACTGGAGTACGAGCAACGGATGTCGATAGGCGCTAATCTATCCTTGAACAACGTTGAAGCAGAAGCAAACAAGATCCTGATGAACGCGAAGAGGAAAGAACTCGACGCTGGTTCGTTTCTCGCAAATAGTTTGGTACTCTTTCGACCAATCGATCAATGCAGTAAAATCGAATCGCTCTTAAACGCGAAACCGGTTTGATACACGTGTTTATTACGCAGTCGTGACCTCACGAGTCGTTAGATTCAACGAAGACAATTAAAATTAAACAGTGTCTCAGAGATAACGCTTCACATTGATCGACGATATCTCGTCGTTAAACAAAGAGTTTTTTTTGTTCAACGTCGTTCAGGACTTTGCTCGGCCGATTGGAGCAAAGTTTCCTTTCGAGGTTTCATTGTTTCAAGCGACTTCTTTGGCAATGACACTCGAGCGTCTGGAAATCGTGCGAGGAATCCCTTACGAGGGAAGCCCCTAATCGGTCTACTCCTGCACAATGATAGATTGCATGTCCCTATTTGTACATTGTTAGGTGTAGTCGATCATTTTAGGGATATAAGGGATTAACGTAATGTACTTTGCACTATGTACGGTTCAAGTTTATCAAAAGAATCGTTTGAAAGAATTGAAACCTCGTTCACGGGGTTGTCGCTCCTTTTTCTGATCCGGATGTTTCCCGTTTTTCACAGCGTTCAAGAACCCGTCACAGTTCACCCCCGGTCGAAACTTCATATCAGCGAAGAACGACATCGACCGTTCGAAAGTATTCCAATTGCTTCGTCGTATGCCAAAGGGCGCAGTGCTCCACGCACACGACACCGCGATGGTCAGCTTCGACTACATGTACCACAACGTCACCTTCTTCGATGATCTGTACATCTGCGACAAGAAGGACAACATCCGGTTGCACTTTTTCCGGGAACCGGACAAAGACTGCGACTGGGAGCTGCTGAAGAAGGTGCGCGAGGACCCGTCGCGCGCGCCGCGCGTGAACGAAAGTATCAAAGAAGCATTAACGATGAGCAACAAAACCTCCAACAACAGTTACTCGGACATCGACACGGCATGGGGCAAATTCAATTCCATTTTCAAATTCGTGCAACCGCTGGTGACTTACAGGCCCGTTTGGGAGCACCATTTCCTCAAGGCTCTCGAGGAATTGTACCAGGACAACGTGATGTACCTGGAGCTGAGGACCACTTTACCAGAGTTGTACGATTTCAACGGCACCGTGTACGGACCGCGAGATGTGGTTGGTATCTACGAGAACCTCACCGAAAGGCTAGTATTTCCTGCTCTGCAATTTCTCTCTACAAGATAAATAAAATAAATATAATCAAAATCAACAGTTATAAACGCAAGCTTTATCAACAAGTAATTTAGCCTGTTGTAATTTGTACGATAAAAAAACATTGGAAGGACGTTATCGCTGAGTCGTAAGAATAATATTATTTTTCAATTAGACAGTAGCTTATCGGTACGATTAGATACAAAAAGATTTACCGACAATCGATTGATAATTAGAAAAAATACAAGAGCGGTACTTGGGTACAAATTGTATCGAAATTTTTACGTCTGTAGGAGAAAGATATCTGATTAGCTGTAGCGTATTAATTGTGTACCTATTATGTGCAGGTTCAAGAAAGGTCATCCAGACTTCGTCGGGGTTAAACTGATCTACGCGCCTCGACGATCCGTCGATAAGCAACGGATGAAAGATTACGTGAGGACGCTGAAGGAATTGCAACAATCGTATCCGAAATTTATAGCCGGATTCGATCTGGTCGGCCAGGAGGACAAAGGGAAGACTCTGAAATATTTTGCGGACGTATTGATGGAGGCGGAGTCAAATACAAAGTTTTTCTTTCACGCGGGGGAAACGAATTGGTACGGCAGGTCGACGGACGAGAACCTGGTCGATGCAATTTTGTTGAACACACGACGCATTGGCCACGGGTAAAACGAAACATTCTTGATTTAATTCTAACTGACTCTAAAACAATCATTTTCACACAAATAAGCAAGATATGTTTATTTATAACGTATAAAACAATGATAAGAAAATTTTCTACCTGTAATAACATTACAGTAACGCTTCGATAAAACGTAGGCGAATAGTAAGAGTCCAGAATATTTTATCTCTGATTTGTTCGAATATTCATGATCGATTAAGATCCTTTGAGAATGATTTGAAGTAATTCGAGTAAACATTGCATCTTTCCGATTTTCTAAATATCTTCCCACAGATACGCGTTGATCTATCATCCGTTCCTCATGGAAATGGCGAAGCGAATGGACATCGCCATAGAGGTAAATCCGATCTCCAATCAGGTGTTGAAGCTCGTCGATGATTTGAGAAATCATGCTGCGAGACGATTGTTCGCCGAGGGATATCCGGTTGTAGTTTCGAACGACGATCCTGGATTTTGGAACGCAAGGGCCCTCAGTTACGACTTTTACGAAACATTTATGGCACTCATGTCGGATCATTCCGATCTGAAAGGACTCAAGCAATTAGCCATGAATTCCCTCATTTACAGTAGCATGAATAATACCGAGAAGAATATGGCGATGACTCTTTGGGAGAACAAATGGGACAGCTTCGTGGAAGATGTAGCCCGTGATGGGCATTAGGATCACAGACCAGGAGACTGATTACTATAATATACATATATACATCCAAGGGCAGTGTAGTTTAAAAACTTTATGCGCAAATAAGTAAAAAAATATTTTTTTCTACGACTCATTGAAGATATTTAATCATTTTAAATTATCCTCAACGATTCGTGTGACATTCTTCTGAGGCATTAAACATCGCGTAATGAAAATCATCGATGAATCAATAATTGAAACCGGTTACGTGTTTCATTTCATTCGATTCTTGAAAGCGTTTATAGATACAAGATTGTGTTTCTGCTCGCGAGAGATTGAAATCTGGGCGTGGTTGTCTATTTCTGTGGTCTTGGAAAAAGTGAATGAAACTACGCTAAAGGCCGTAGTACACAATAAAGCAAATTATTGTGCCCTTTCTAAAAAACAATTGACGACTTTACGACTACAACATGCATCAATTTCTACTTTTGATGGTACACTAAAAAATTTTTCCAGATTATGGGCAGAGATATCTGACAGTCATGTAACCACGATTTAAAATACATAGTCAGACATTTTCTTGATATACCTTGAGTTGTTTGTATTTACCTTTATTGTAAATAAATGGCATTATGTATTTATAAAATAATGAAAAAACGAAACAAAGTGTAATATCACTTCCCCCACCGCACAATTTAGACTCGTAGAAGGAAAGGAAGGAAATTGACGCTTACTTATGGTATCACGACAGATGCTTGATTTAAAAAAAAAATAACCATTATTACTAAAGTATATTATTTAAATTTAAATTCATCACAGAAAGAACAATTCACCATCTCCTTTCTAGCTACACCTGTGTCACTTGTGTCACCGTATTATTTGTACCCGTATTTCCATGGTGTTCTATAAAAATTTGTTTACCAGTGTTCCTCGGGATTTTCCAACTGCTGCAAAAAAGTTCGTTGAACGTTTTTCTGAACTGTCTGCTCATTGTGCAATAAAGAATGAAATTTATAGCAGAATTTACAAGGGTCAACATATCGATAACATCACCTGAAAATTAATAAATAATTATTACCATTTGCTCAGACTTCTTGCTCCAATATAATACCAGTTAATTGATTTTCTTTACAACTAACTATCTTCTTCTGTCGATAGATCCGACAGTATTCTCAAGTTCGAATTTATTTGCTAAGTAGAACGACGATTATCGGAAGCAATAAAGAAACGAAATATTTCCGATAATCGATCAATAGGGGGAAAAAATGAAACGATGCAACACTTGAACACTACCATATATCTTCGAAGGAAACTAAATTTTTCTAAAATTCGAACGCTATGAGGATAGATCAGAAGAACTTATCTCGTCTCTATCGACAATAGGCTGTTATAAAATCAACATTTTGAGTAATTATCGTTCCGATAATGGACCTTCTATTCTACTTTTAGATTTTTAATTTTCGTCCTTTTATCCGTGCAACGTACTTTTAGCCGTGATCCAATAATTTATAATAGCTGTTGTATCAAAGTAACGGTTACTCTCTTTATAAAAGCAGAAAATCAATTTCCACGTCAAAAATTTCATAACTTTAGACAATACACAATTTTTTCCTGTTACGAAAATTTATTTTAAATCAACCAGTGAGTCTAAACAATAGAAATTTGTTCACGATCGCATAATCGATTGAAAAATAATTGCTCGTAAGAAGATACCGATATACCTATTCGTTGCTTATTTAATCGCACATTAGGGTAATTATTTACATTAGTAACAATCACAATGATTTCAATGGATTTGAAGTATGTTAACATATATTCGTGTCCATACCTAAATGAAGCAAATATAAAAAAAGAAAAAAATAATTCAGAGAACCATAAGCGGATATTTCAATTATTTCCAATTTTATATGTTATTTCTTGTTTTCGTTCGATCGAACTTCCGACTAAAAATAACGTAAAAAGTTAGATGAGAATTTGATAGTTGTGCCATACTGACCCAACATGAGGTAACAAGTCCGAAAAAAACCTGGTCCTAGCAGTACACTTAGAAGTCCCAGAATTCCCTGCGGCAATTCTGTCAATAGAAAAAGAAGCAAAACCACGAGTAACATCATGGTAGTTCTATCAGTTTGCCTCTCTCTGTCCACTCTTCTCGAACTTTTACTTCTCTCCAAATTTTTTTCTTGAATATTTGTCAACTTCCGTCGTCTTCGTTTCGCTTCTAATAGCACTTGAACGAGTTTCAAACTGACGACAGTCAATACGAGGCAGGGAAAAAGTTTTATCACGATGCTGTAGATCCAAAAATTCAATTCTTTCAATATGTCGTGATTCTCCACAGTTTCCGTCAGTCGAACGAAGTAGAGCGTCGTGTTTCTTGTGTTACCTAACGACGGATCTAAAAACATGAAACAATTTATGATTTGATAGACTCGTAAAACTTATGAAAGTAACACATTTGGTTACGAATTGTCAGTTATCAATTTATCGACAATTAAAGCAATCGATGATGATTAGCATGCGAGAATGAAGTAAGCTTAGATTCATCGATTTCGACTTTGCCTTCTGACATGTCAACGTTGTGGAAAAACAGCTAACTACAGACGCTATATTCCGTGCCTGCGAATCTGTATGTGTAGCGAAGGATTTAATTCGATTTTAATTATACTACAAATATTGGTCAAGGAATTAAAACATTTGTAAACACTAGAGACCATGAGCAAACCGATCGATGTCTGACACAGCAAAGAAGGCTGAAAGTGCTCGTAGCAGTGGGTTTTGCGATAAAAGGGGAAACCCTACATGCTGCTAATATCACTGATTAGGTTTGAACAACAAAATTCTATACTCGAGACTGTATACACAATTGTTTAGCGGTAAGAGCGATCGATGATGCATCTATTAAATTCATTTTAAGTTTCGTGAACAATGCTCGTGAAAACAACAGCCTTTATTTAAGACCGAACCACTTGTAAAAGCATCGATACAATCGTAGAAAATAATATAAAGAATTCTCACCGAGCTGAGTGTCGTTTCGAATGCTCATCCCATGGGAATCTAGGATCTCCACGTGCGCTCTTACTTCCGTCGTAATGTACAACGGTACACAAAGCACGGGACAGAAAATGTACGCAATCAGAATCGCAAAAATAGTTCTTCTGTAACTGCACCACTCTCTGTTCTTCTGCGGTCTCGCTACCGCTACGTATCTCCACACAGCCAGTATCAACGTTAAACAGATCGAAATCGTGTGACATACCTGCGAAAATTAAGTTCAATCCTATGAATTTACTTCGAGCTCTTTTCGCTGCAAGTACTCGATCGAAGATTAAAATTTATCTCTCTGTTCTCTAATTCAAAATAAAACTCCTCTTGATTACTTTCAAATTGCACCGACGCGTTTCGGAATTTTACGAGCCGTATCGTACACAATACGCGTTTATAGAATCGCAAACTAAATCCACGTTTCGTTTGAACGAAGTTTGTCTTTAATTAAAGAAGACGACCGATCCGTTGCATCAAATTGATTGGTTTCCAAACATGTAGGTCAACCCTTATCAAACAAAATAAGGATACAACGACCAAGGCAGAATTCAATGATCCGCGAATAACAAAATCAGTTTGCGAGTCGGTACCGCGATTCTTTAATGATACACTAAATGAAAGCATCCTGATCATTGAAATTCATTATCTTCGTTTCGATCACGGTGGATACGAATGTTTCACCTTCTCCTTCATCCCTACCCTCGAATTCTAATAATTTTATTTCTGAGATAAGTAAAGATCGCCCGTTACCTGTGCGAAGTGCGAATGAAATAGCACGAAAAGTGCCCATCCATAAGTGAAGGTGTCTTGTCTTGATCGACGGTACAAGTAAAGATGAAAGGAATAAGGGATGTAATCGATCATTACAAGTAAATCAGCCAGGGCCAATCCCGTTAAAATTAAATTCGTCGGTGATCGCATTTCTCGTCGCGTTAGGACGAGAATATTCAGAACGTTTGCAACCGAACCAAAAATACAAACGAAAAGGGAGATCCACCCATGTAATTGAAAATAATTCGAATGGAAGGATGATAAATCGCAAACATAATGGCTCGAAGTTACGTTAACATCCATGACTCCTTTTAAACGCACTTCTCCTTTCGATTTTTAATAACGTACTTTGTCTGTCGGCCGAACAATTTTCAAAACGTTAATTGTCCGAATTTGATGTTCGATAATTTGCATCGACGTTCGATATATCCTCGACTCTTGATCGACGATTTTTCTCTTGACTATGAAAACATTTGAACCGTCCCCTTAGAATTCGTTTGAATAATAAATCAGTTTTTTACGAGGGAATCTATCTTCGATAAAAGTTCTCGTATCTCTGTTTCGCAGAATATGTTTAGCCTCGTTTATCATTATCCGTGTCTTTCAATATTTTAACGCAATTTTCTTCCGAAGGTTGTACAATCATAAATTATCCACCAACATTTTTTTTATCGACTGTCGTTTATCCTTGGGAAACTGTTCGCGCACTTATCTTCGATCTTCGTGCATGAATTACTTCGACTCTTGAAAACTACTTCCCTAAAACGCGATGTTTTGTTCTTTAAAGCTTGCCGGAAAGTAAACAGCCTTTCGAGCAGGAGGATACATTTTGTATCGTAGTAAAGTACAGTTTCTGAAAGTTTCTTGATCCCATCGGAGCAATTTTCCTTCAATCTTCGCGCGGCGATCGAATAACACTGCCTTTTCATGTAGCTTCGATTTAACTAAGAATTCGAAACGTTTTACGTTTATGTAACATTATTATGTTTTATTTTAAATACAATCCGTAAGTTTCCTTTAGGTGAAACTATGTAAAGATCCTTTTATAACATGTTATTACTTTTAAGTAACTCGGAATATTAAATTTAACTTTATTTATTCTTATTTAAGCAATTAAAATTGCTCGGACCCGGTGAAAGTCACAGCGCGAGACGCAACAGGCGTACGATCGAATAAAATGACGACGCTTTAGCACGTTAACGTCCGAGCGTCGCGACGTTGGTCGAGCTAATGTTACGAGACGCTGTTGGCGTCGCGGACGCCCCCGAAATTTTAACGCAGGCGCAAATCGTTTCTTTCTTTTCCGCGATAGTTTCTCCCTTTTCTAATTTTTCTTTTGTTTACCAAATCATTCCCACGCTGATGCTCCATTTGCACTTTCCGAACCACGGGTATCAAATTCGCTTTATTTTACAATTTCTGATATTTATTTTCACAAACGCGGGGTTAGAATTTATGCATAACAAACGGAAGTCGTTGCAAAAATCTTCTAAACGTCGAAATCGATTCTAAGAAAAACGGGGGCACGATTTTCCCCGAGAATTGCATGATTTCTATGATATCGCGGACGCCTGATACCTTTCAAATTGTGAACATTGAAGGAGATAAGCCATTTCTGCTAAATCAAAGAAAGACAGGACGACCTGGCTGTGTGATTAGAGGGAATCGCGCAGTATTCCACAGAAAGAAGAAACTAGCGATTCTGAAAGGGAGAAGAATCCAGGCGATGCAGTATGATACGCATAAAATGGGGAAAATACATATTTTTTATACGTTTCGTTTCTACATACCGAAATATCGTTTCGTTACGCTGCTTTCATTAACATTTTTATATTCTTCGAAATAGAACGAAACAATAAAATTCGAGGGCCTAGACATGGAAAGTTATATTAACAACTAAATTGTGCATTTAATCTTTCTGTAAAAGACCAATTTTCCACCCAGAAATTTTGCGTTTAATGATAATCGTTACATACTATACATAAGTACACACGGTGCAAAAGTGAAAGCATATTGGATTATTCAGAAAGTTCGTAGCGTTTTCCAATAGGCGACAGAATTAATATATTCTGAGGTTTAGATGTACGCAGAGCATTGCAGCGTCCATACGTATTTCGTTAAAACGGTTTTTCAAGCTCTAATTAGTAACAAAGTTTCGAGTGCAGACGGTTTTCACTCGTCTGAATGCATGCAGAAAATGGATGATAATAAAATTCATTTTCGTCGATGCTGTTTTCTCGTCGCGAAGGTAAAAATACAGCCCGAACATTGAGGGAGGAGTCTCATGTGAATGATAGAAAATTGAACCATTTTTCATAATTTTTTTTTTTTATGGAAATGTTACATCTAACTTTATGATTCATTTTTGTGGTTTACTTAGCTATCCTTTGGAAATACAAGGTAATTTTTGTATTAATTTTTATCAACTTTTAATGTTGTTATCACGATCAAGGTTGACTAAATCATAAAAATCAAAAAGATTTTTATTCCGTAGGTCTACAGTTATCGCCCGTACCAAAATAATTAATTTATGTTGCAAATTGATAAAATGGTGGAGGCTTAAAGTAAAAATTGCAAAATTTCGTCGTTCTTTTGCAACTTTTTAATAAAAAAGTTATGATAAACTCGTTATAACAATTTGATTTTGGTACGGGCGAAAACTGTTAGTATGTGGAACAACGTGTAAAAATTTCAATGCAATCGAACGTGTAGTTTTTGAGATTTTATCTACGCCAGTTAAGAAAGTAACGTTTCGAGAGAAACACATCTAAAGTCTACAGGATCATCCATATAAAATTCCCTCCAGAATATTGGCACCCAGATGACAAAAACTCTCAAATTTCGACTTTTAATAACAGCAGAGGTCTCTTGACCCTCTCGTAAACCTTTCGAAATAGTAATGTCTGGGCTGTACAAGGTAATCACCTGAAGCAATGACTCCAATAATTACCTCGAGGACTATACAAAAAATGTTCTACAATCTACAATACTTGTCAGTTATCTCTCAAAATTTAACAGTAGATTCTCAAATATATATACTTTCAAAAAATGAAGTAAAAAAAAAATAATTGATATTTTTGAAGGCTCACACGAGACTCCCCCCTTAAGGGAAACTGTGAAACACAGTAAATTACTGTTTCAATTTAAACTATTGACTATTGTAATCTAAAATATTAGTCGTTTCATTAAAAAAAAGAATTGCAATTTGACAACTTACCTATTGTTCTTTCACGAAATGACTAGCTTTGCGATGTAGGGAAACAGATATTGTTAGTCGATGTTGTCTATGGATTACGGTTAGGGATGATTTCTTCGCCAGGAATCGCAGGTTATCCCACTACCAGGTAGTCAATTCTCCCACCAAGACGACGGGTTCTCCCACCAGTAAACATCCGGTTTTCTCATCATCATTAGCAGCAAGTTCCACAGTAGTTAGTTCCTTCGCGACCCTGCCTCTCGGCTCTGCATGGCGGGCACAAAGAGATCCTGATCGCCACAGGAAAGTGGAAAGAGCCAGTTCGCCAGTTCTGGAATACATCATTGCCTCGGCCTATAGTGACGCCTGTGTGCGCTGAATTTATAATCAACAAGGTATTCCCATTTTATTTGGAACCACATAGATCGACTTTTTTACATAATCTGAAAGTTTAGAGATTTAATAATACATCGGTAAACTATTGAGACAAAAGTCTAAAATAATACATACGTTAAAAAATAGTCTCGTCTGGTGTAAACAACGTGTATGCATTTTATTTCAACATTGAACATTCACTAATGTGTATACAATATAATATATGTATTTGTGTATATAATATACATATGGTGATAATAATAATATTATCATTTATGTATACAAGAACATCGTTTACGTTGCTGCTGTTAATGTATACACGCACATGTACGCATTTAATTAATCAATATGATAATTATTCTAATATATAATTAATCGTTCATATTGTATACCTTTCTATCGTCCTCTAATTGTGTCGATAAATACAGCCCTTAGTAAATTACATTAATCATTCATCTGTTTCGTGGATAAAATCTCGGCTTGTTTAATTGTATACACACGCGTGTACAACTAATAATTTTGTTTCTGCATCCACGCGTATGTATATTATATTCCCTGTATCTTATTTTCATAATCATCTAAAAAATTACCTACTTCTATATGTTTGTTAATTAGCTAATTAATTGGTAATTTTCGTTTTTCCGTCATCACGGTTCTTTTTTCTTGTATCACAATTACCTGGTATTATCGTGTCGAACGATTATTATTCGAACTTCGCAAATGGTTGTTCTTCTTTGTTTACAAGGTTCTCTTGGTTCTTTGGGTGGAAGAAAGAACGTAGGGAAATTACATTTATAACAAAGGTTATGGCCTCCAAAATTTGTGGAAGTAATGAGCATAGTGGTATTATTTTTTTTTTTCTTCTTTTTTCTTTAAGAAAACGGTAAACGTTAACGGTATCTTCTTATGGGGAAAATGAAACAGCAGAAGAACTACAATTTTGCAAAAACGAATATGAAAAAGAAATTTACGAAGCAATTTGAGGGAATTTCCACATACTGTACGTATCATAAATACGACACTAATTAAGTGCGTTTTCTCTTTTAAAATGAACTTAATAATTTTAAACGAGACTATTTTCCCTCGTTCCAGTAACAAAGCAGTAATTGTTGTTATAGCTTATGTTAATTAAATTTCCGAAATTTAATGTAGTTAAAATTAATTTAACGGTTTATTGGCTTCGTTAATTTCGTTTCTTAATTTTCACAGCTCGATTACGTAACTATAATTAATTATCATTAACAATATTGGGTAATGATCGCTTAAGAATCATCTTTATTGCTGTTGTTTCATGCATTGATATACATCGGGATGCTGTGAAAAATGGCGCTGAATAACATAATTATACACAAGGTTTCCATAACAAAAGCATTGTACAACAAAATTAACAACAACATAACATTGACCAATTTATCGACTTAACAATTAAAACTTTCGGTATTAAATAAACGTATTTCAGGCGAATAATGGCCTGAACTAAGAGTGCGGCAATCAGTCCTGAAGTATAAAATCAAAGAACATAAAATGTGAACATTGATAATATAGTATGAGTTGCACCGATACTCGCTAAAAATTAACAAAAGTTCGTGTAAGATTGGTAAAAATTATTCTGGCAACCACTATTTTTAATTCGTTAAAATCTAAATACTACTATTTCGTACTTAAAACGACAGGAAGTTGTTGTTTTAACCCTTTTGTTACAATGAGCCACTAAACCAGAGATTTAACCACT